GCCTCACAGAAGCCCAGAGTCAACCCCTAGATTCTCCCTCCCTCCCACCTTCCCAGTAAAGTTCTAACAGGTTGTGGGAAATCACAGCCCAGTGGATTTAAGAAACCTCATCAAGTGGCCCATGACCATCCAGACCAAGACGGTGTGGAAGATACTCATGCATGCACTGCAGGTGTCCTGAACAAACGGGGCTTCTGTGGCAGCGTGAAGGGCGCTGTTGGTAACACAACATCCGGGCCCATCTCCGGTAGGATGTGAGGCGCACCGGCCGTCAGAACAGGTCTGGACACCTTTGGCAGCAGACGCATCCCTGACCACCCAGTCCAAGCCATTATAGATATTCCCTAGCCATGAGAAAGATATTTCTGTCATGGGCCAGCAGATGGCATGGTGGTTAAGGAGGCTGGATCCCACATGGTTGACTGCATGGTTCAAGTCCCAGATCCAGCAGCTTGAAAAATACACTGTGTGTGTGTGTGTGTGTGTGTGTGTGTGTGTGTGTGTGTCCCAATTCCTGAGAGGTGAATGGAGAAGAATGGATTATGATGTGGCAGCCATCTCCCTGAGGGTGGGGAGTGATTTCTCCCTCTCTCTGTCTCTCTCCAGTGAGCCCTGTAGCAAACAGAAAAAAAGAAAGAAAGAAAGAAAGAAAGACAGTTCTTACCTAAAATGATTTACAATTCACATGAACCACCCAGCAATTATGCCTAGCCAGTAGAGTGCAATTCCATTTTGCCCCAACAACCTAAGACATTAAAGTACCATGCAGCTCACGTTGCAGAATGACAGCTGAAGGCAGCTCCCAGGGACCCTCAGGAAAGGAGACCGGCCTCAGAGGTTGCCTTCTTTTTCAGATCACTTCCTTCAGTGAAGGAGACAGTAGGAGAGGCTGGGCTGGGATCCTGGGCTATCTGTGCACTGAGCAGGTGCCAGGGGGTCTGCCTGGCTATCTTCGGGACTGCTGGGATGCCCACTTCAGTGGCTTTACAGCATGCCAACTGGCACCCCCTGGGGTGGCCTTTGTGTTGGGTGAGGCAAGTGACTCCTATTGTAGCAAGGGATAGGCTAGTGGAACCTGGGATAGGCCTCCATAGTTGGTACAGTCCCCTGCCCCATGAGTCTGCTGAGAGCACAGGGACCTGGGGCCCAACCTCAGCTCTGTCCTGTCCTGTGCCTGCCATGGGTCTGAGTTTCCTCGTCTCTGTAACAGGGTGTCTTTCTCAAGAAGCAGAGACTGGAGAGAATGTCCCGCCTGTGGAGGCCCCGGCACTCACTTCATTACCGCTCCCCAGGTGTCTACAGCTGCTTAGTCATCAGCTCCCACCCTTGTCCCCCACACAGCCTCTGAGCCAAGGATACCTGACCCGTGGCCCCAGAGGTTGCCAGCAGGGTTGATGGTAGTCCTGCGAGGTCTTAACCAGGGGTGGGGCTGCAGCTCTCAACCACTTACATACAAAAAGTCTGGAAAACCACTCAAGGGCGGCCCCTTTGAAAGGGCATGAATGACAGCCAGACTAACGACGAAATCATAGCAGAGAAAAATGACTGCAATGCAGGAATCTCCCACAAACGCTCCATAACTGCCCCTCCCTTACACTTTAAATCAGATGAGCAAAGAAGCACACCTCTGCCACGCACCACCAGAACCCTAAACGAAGCCTGCCAGGCTAGCCCAGCTCCCAAGCCCACAGCTATGAGGTCTGAGGCAGCACAATGGAACCTGGAGTGAGAGGAAAAATCTTCAGTCACCCTCGCTGGTCCACCTTCACAGCCAGGAAGCAAGAGGCCCAGGCAGGTGGCTGTGAGGTCTCAGCTCTGGGAAAGGCACTTCAGAGGGACTGTCCACTCATCAGGGCCTCCTAAAGTGGACATGCCAGGCAGGTGTGGTTCAAGCTATAACCCCCCACTTCCAAGCAGTTGACCCTCAGCATGCCACACAACTCCCCCAAGCCTCGGTGTCCCCCTCCTCAGCTGATGTGACCTCATGGGAGATACTAGGCCCAGGCCATGGCTTGAGGGACCCTCTACAGCCTTGGTGATGTCATCGAGGGAAAACTGCTGAGAAGCAAAGGTGCTGCATCCCTCCTGGCACCCAGTGGCTTTGCCATCACTCAGCACACTTGGCAAGGCTTTACTGGTCAGCAAGAGCTGGGGAAAAAGCAAGCCTGACACCACTTCGGACCCAGCTTCCAGGGGCCTCAGCCCTGCAAGCAGGTCAGCTCCCACCCAAGGCCGCCTCCACCACAGAACGCTATGTTCACTGGTGCCAGACTCAGGAAAGAGCCTTCCTTCTAGTAAGGCTTGGGGTGAACCGAGCCCCAAGGCTTAAAAGAGAGAAAAGGTTTGGGGTCCATGGGCTTCTGCTAGGCCCCTCCCTGGGAGCCTGGACAAGGGGTCTAACCTGGCCCTGCTCAGAGCCGAGTTCCATTTTTCCCTCAGAGCAGCAGAAGGTAGAGACCTTCGGATCAGACATCCTCGGATTCCAACAGCCTGAATGCAGACTCTGAGCTGGCGTTTCTGGAAGTGGCCAGCTCCTGGAGGGACCAGCCCCCCCACCCCCCGTAACTCCCACAGCACATCCCAGCTTAGTGCTAAGTGGACACATGGCAGGAACACTCAGCAAGAAGGATGCATCCAAATCTGCCCAGAGCGAGAAGACTGATGTAAAAACAGACACCGCCTTCCAGATCAGCTGGGACTGTCATTTTCTTTCCCGAGACGCACAGAGGCTCTGGACTTCCAAGTCTAGCCGCAACTATTCTTAGTGTGCAGGGATCCAAAATTAAAACAGGAAGCACCAGCTCCCTTGGTGGTTTGGGAACTTCCCTGAATATAGGGTTCCAGCCACAAAAATCCTACAGCCAGGCATGACACGGCGTAGATGATGGGGAGAAGCTATGGCTTATGCAACTCCGGGCCCAGGTGCGCCCAGAGGGACAGGACCTGCTGAGTCCTCTTCCGGCCCCTCTCTGAGGGAGGATGTCTCGGAGCACCCTTCCACACAGACAGTCGTGTCCGGTGCAAACAGGCACTAGCAGAGAGAAACACATGCCCTACCAGACCATCCTACTCTGCAAGGCCCATGGTCATCCGCTTTGAGCCCCGGAGTGTCCACAGCAGGATGGGAGCTGCTGACACACGATGGGCTCGATCAATGCTCGATTGTACAGGAATGAGGAGCTCGAACAGCGAGGGGCCTGACGGAGTGGCTGCCCCACAGCCTGTACTGAGCCCTACCCATGATGTGAAAGAGCTGGTAGATGCAGTGGCACCAGGACAGGCTTGCTGCCCAGACGCCTTCTCCCTACTGCCCCCTGGCCATCAAACCTTTGACTCCCTTTTGGATGTCACGCTCCTAAGAGGGGCAGCTGGGGTTAGGACTACTTCTCCAGCCCTCACAGTGACTGACTGGAGGGCCCTGTCCTAAATCACTCCACAGGACTTTCCCCAGGCCTTCTCCTCAAGCACTCCTGAACCTCAGCTCCCTCCTTGAAAATGGCGCTGCCCAGGAGCCAGTGAAGCCCCCTGGAGGATGCCACAGCAGATGCCAAGTTGGCAGCTGTTGCCCGCACTTGAGCAGAGGGCAGTCCCCTGCACAGGGCCACCCCTAAGAAAGCTGAGGAAAAGTCAAAGATCTCTCAGCTACGAGCTTACCTTGGTCACCTCCCTCCTCAGCAGGAGTGGGTCCCTCAGGCCCCAACACTGAGCAAATACTGTCCCAGGGGCTGCCCTTAGCAAGAAGCCCCCTGCTGCCCAAGTTCTCCCAGTCTCCCTCCGACCACGTCTGACCTCTGGCCCAGTGGTCACTGCTGAGCTAAGGAGTGTGGTTGCCCAGAGAACTGGGCACTCACCCAGCAGCCTCTGCCCAGTGACGGGGAGGAAGACCTGGAGTTGAGGACTTGTGACCCCACGGGGACCCCCTGCCAGTACAGTCAGGCCCAGACCTCCCAGAATGGATCATCCCAGCCTAGTATACTGGGACAACCCCCACGCCAGCCCAGAGAGAACTCAAACTCCTGAGGTGACTCTCAGTGCGCCCCGAATCATGACAGCCTTCTTGATGGCCACCAACACTCCAAGCAGCTCCCACCCCAGGGCCTTTCGCTTGTTCCCAGGACTGAAACACTCTTCTCTTGGACAGCCTTCAGCTCTCTGGCTTCCTGCTCCGAGGCCTCTGCTCAAACGTCACCATCTCAAGTGGTGGGGCTCTCTTGGAGGCTTTTTGTAAAATATCAGCCCTCCCCGCCCCTTGGCTCACCTCCACCCCTCCTTTGGAGAAGGCCATCTGACATACTTGTCTGGGCCCTGCTTGTCTACTGCACTGGCACCTCAGCCTCGTACTGCATGTGGCTCCCTTATGCACAGCGCCTGGAACAGTGCTGCCAGATAGTCCGCATATAGGCTAAGTGTGCAGTGGGCCCAGGAAGAACCTGCCTCTTCTCCCCTGGAAGGGTCTTCTCAGCCCAAGAGCCACCTGCTGAGGTAGCTGGGTCAGCCCTGTTGCTCTGAGTGCATGCACATGAGTGGGCACACACCTACACTCATGTGGAACCAGCTAAGAATAGATTTCACTACATATAAGAAAAAAATTGAATTGACAGATTAAAAACAAAAAGGAAATCTGTGATGAAGCAGCCCAGCCCAGGTACATCTGGTAAGGAGTCAGGCTCCTTCCATTCTTCGCTCCACCACCTTGGTGAATGGGTTTCAATCTCAAATTTGCTTCAAGGTCCAAAATGGCAGCAAGAGCTCCAGCTATTACACGTTCCAGACAATAGAAGGAGAAAGGGGAGGAAGGCAAGAGGGACTTCTCCAGCTACTGGCCTCTCTTCTAAGGAGCTTTCCAGAACCCCTCCCAGCAATTTCCACTCCTCTCACAGTCTGTCTCCATCAGAGGCTAGAAGATGTTTTTTCTCCAGGCATCTCTTCCCTTTGAACACAGCCAGGGTTCCTCGGTCGTGCTTGGCCATGGGTAGGTGTCTGGCCAGGGTCCCACTCACCATGAGGATGCGCCGGTAGCTGTCACGGTCAATGCCCCAGAGCTTGAGGTCTGTCTTGGCTTTCACTGTCGCAGCCCTGGGGGTGCCATAGATGAGCGCCAGCTCCCCAAAGCTGCCTCCTTCGCTGATGCTGGTCACCCACTCTCCATTCACATACACCTTCAGAAAACATAATGAGAGAGAGGCACGTCAGGGGGCGCCTGGGGTTTACACTGGCTGCTTCCCACACGGGAGGCCTCCTTAGCTCTCCCAGAAGGAGCTCTCTGTAAGAAAGGGTGCAACACTGGCCAAGGTCCCCCACACCCCTCATCTGTGGGTAGACCAAGAGGTCTGGTGTGGCTGGTGGACCAAGGTGCTCTCCTTGTCCCCAAACCTGCCCAGAGCCACAGCAGATGGCACCAAACCCCAAAGGCAGGGGAAGCCTACATCACCAATGCCAATAAAACAGGCCAGGACCAGAGACAGGGGCCCTGGAGCCCCTGATCTGCAGCATAGCATGTTCCAGCCTTCTCTACCCACTTGGAACTCAGATCCTGTGGGCCTGAAGTCCCCTAACTGCACATCAGTGAGTTGGACCCTAGGATTTCCATGGGGCACTCTGCTCTGGGCTCAACTTCTGCATGTTTGCCTTTTCCATTCATAAATTGCCCCTTCCTGTCCTGCTGTTCAACAGGTCCTCCAGAGAATCCCCAAACCCCTACCCCCACCTCCACCAGCACTCACTGCTCCAGGCCCCTGAGGGAGCCATGCTGTCTTAAACCCTTTCCTCCCAAGGGGCCTTTCTTCCCAGGGGCAGCACCCAGGCTTCTTAGGCCTGGATCTGAATGGAGCCCTATGGCTGGACACTGCTGCTGAGCCACACCCCAGAGGGGCCCAGACAAGATTCCCTTTCAGTCTGCGTGGGCCAATGCACCCCCGCACAGTGTGCCTACTATGCATTGAGCGTGCTCGGCCGCATCCGTGCAAGAATAGTGCAGATTGTTTATTATGCAGCGATTATGCAGATTCGGTTACTATAAATTGACACAATACACTCTCTATTCGCACAGCGTGTCAATGAGCTTAAAGAATAGTTCCCGTTGGCAAAATGGGTGCATATTAGCAAAGAATGGATTGCGATGAATCATGTAAGCAATTCTTATTGAAATCAATGAGTCATTATCTGGATAATAACTGATGCTCAGAATTTTCTATCTGAACGAAAATGCCATGCAGGTGATAACTCCATTATTAAGTGCAAGCGAGAGTGGGGGAATGCTGCTCAGCCATGCAGTTTCCAGGGGAATAGAGATGACAGCTGTACAGAGGCAAGACTCCACCTGGAGGATTTGCACCCGTCCCCACCTGGGCCAACCAGGCTCCCCTCGTTCTTGGAGGAAACTGGAACAGTCAGGTATGTGGGGATTGGCGAGGGGGGCGGGAAAGAAATGCCAGCTTCCCTTCAACAAGCTCAAGGAGTCAGAAGATGAGTGTGTGTGTGCCCACCTGGATGCGGAGGACTCGTGGAAGGAGGGTCAGCGATCGAAGGGTTTTAGGGGTGAGGGATCTCAGAGAACATCCTCCAGAATCCCTGGCTCTAGTTTTTTCCAGGGGGTTCCAGAGCACAGGGAACCACCACTGTTGGCCTCACAGCTGGCACTCCCACTTTGCTTTGGCTTTTATGAAAACCCGTGTATGCGGGCATAGTTTGCAAACAGTAATGTGTACCGTTCAGTGGTTTCACCACTCCGCTCAGGTCCCCAGAAACTCCTGTTGCCCCTTGTAGGAGACTTCTCCCCATGCCAACATCAGTTCTTCTAAAAGGAATCACACGGTATCTCACAGTATTTACCATTCCACGGGGGATGCACTCGGGACCCTGATACATATGGCATCACGGTCATCCATCCTCATAACAGCCTTGCAGGCCCCCATCTCTCTCAGGTGTGTGCTGAGGCGGCATTGGTTGCATCGCAGGGTAACCTGTTGGCTTAGCTTTAGCGGATGTTGCTAAACACCGTTTCCAACAGCTAGACCAAACTGCCCTCCCTCCAGCACCCACTGCCACTTTTCTTCTGACATAGAGATCTCTGCTGAGTCACAAGAGTATGCTGGGCTCAGCGGTGAAGAACCTGAGGCTGGAGGTTTGCTCAATGCTAGAGAGTCCATGAGGCAGACAGGCCCATGAGCTTCTCTCCTTTCACCTCAGGGTGACCAAAGCAGGTGGCAAGACAACTCAATCACCTGCCACAGAGCACAGGGACCCTGGACTGAGAAGGGTATATCTTGGCAGAGCCAGCTTTCCCCAGAGAGAGGGCAGGATAGCTGTGCTGCAGGGCTAGACCATGGGAAGCTGGGACCCAGCGGGCATTGCCGCAGAGGCTGGACCCTCTCTGCCCATGAGGGTCTCCTTCCTCAGAAGGAGCCCAAGGCTTCTGAAGCTCCTTCTGCAGCGTCAGAGAGAACCATTGTGTGGGCCCCATGGACAGGCCCCGGGCCACACTGTGCTGCTCACCCCCCAAGAGGACAAAGGGGCCATCCTTCTCAGGACACTGGCCTCTGTCACCGCTCCCGGAGCAGCGCGGGCCCCACCCCAGCTGGTACGCAAAGGGGCTTCTTCTTGTTTTATTTCATTTTTTTTGTTTCTTCTTTTAAAAAAAAGATGGTAGCAGGCCCCACTGGGCTGCATTCATGCTCCACCATGGACTGTGGCTTCTCTGGCCAAACCAGAGCTCCCACCGGCCTGTCCTGTGTTTCTTCCTTCCTTCATTTACTGCCCTGGTGTTTCCCGAGCACTCCCATCCCAGCAGTGGACGACAGACAGATTCCTGTCCACAGGGGACCTACGGACCAGCAGGGAGACAGGCTGTCAGCAGATAATCACACAAATACATGCTGACCATAAGACATGCGCAGGGCCACGAAGAACATGGGCACCAGTGAGTTCAGGAGAAAGAGCTGTATTAGAGACAGTATTCAGAGCGCCTCCCACAAAGGTGAATCAACCCAGCCAGGAACGGCAAGGGGCAAGCCGTGCAAAGACGTGAGGCAAAGGGGCAGGATGCTAAGGTCCTGGGGCAGGACTGGATTTGGAAGGCAGTCAATGCAGGGAGTATGGAAGATGGAGATGCCAAATAGTCAGGAGAGGTGTGTGTGGTATGGGGGCAAGTCTGAAAGACCTGAGAGAGGGGCGGCATGGACGTTAATTCCAGAAGCAATAGGGACCCCCAGTGGTGATAACATCCAGCAGGTGATGACAGCATCTGGTGGTGTGGAGACCAGCTGGAGGCACACGGCCTTTGACCGCAGTACTCACCTGTGGCCCAGGGATTAACAGCATCGACACCCTGAGCCAGTCAGAAATGCAGATTGATAAGTCCCACTGAAACCCCCTGATTCAGACCCTTGGGGTAGAGCCAACAGCATGGACAGTATTAACAGATGGTCCCAATACACCGCGAGTGGGAGAACCCCTGCACTGATTCAGACTGCTGGGGGGACAGGCGTAGAGACTGCCGACTGGATCGAGGCAACGGCCTCAGCATAATAAAACCCTAGCAGTGTGAGCACGAGGCAGCACTGGGTTTCGACAGAAATGGGGACTACAAACATACACAGTCTAGAGCTGAGTGAGCATTGCCCCAGCCACGCTAACCTCCAAACCCAGACAGACCGAAGCTGCCAGGAGACACTGCAGCCATACCTGGGCTGTGCCTCGCCCCACCGCCTGCCTCCCCCCGGGCATTCAGTCAACAAACTGGACTCCCCTGAAAAGCCGAAGGGGGTGGAAATTACCACTGGGTAAGTACAGATAAAAGCTAGTCACCCGAGTTACCCACGGGATTGTGGCAAAGGGGTAGAGTATGGCTGCCCAGCCCTCGCTGTCGTCCCCGAGCCCATGTCAACATCCGGGCTGAGAATGGCTCGAACAGGCTGCTGTTTTGCTTTCATGAGATGGTGAGAAAAAGCTAATGGTCCTCCCTCTCTCCTCCGCTCTAGGCTCCCTGCAAAGAGCAAGGGGCCTTGGCCTGTGTCCAGTAGACTGGTGTCTCCCTCCACGCTCAGCCTACCAGCTCTCTCCGGCTCACTCCTGCCGTACTTCCCACCACAGTGGACTCAGACTTCTTTGTCCTAAATGCAAAGGGTGTTGGATAGGTTTGTTTTTTGTGTGTTTTGTTTTTGTTTTGTTTTGTTTTGCATGTAGCACAATCCCCCTTCCTAAAGCTTTTGGATGACATGCATTGTCTTCCCTTCTCTGGGTGGCATGCCAACTGGCAAGTCTCCTCTAGTGGAGTTCCAATATTCTGGGGACCCCAGAAGGCAGGGTCTAGTCAAGATGTTGAACTCAACTCTAGAGTTCAACATCAACTTTCTAATTGACCTTGAGCATCTCCTTAAACATGGTTATCCCTCCTTAAAATGGAGCCCATGGGATTTGCATGAGCCCACGTGTGGTGAACTGTGGACACCAGCCCGCATCACCATCCTTCGGTGAGCACCTCTGCATCTGTGTGGCTCTGGGATTCATCCACCTCTCTAACCCCAGTGCACAGTCACCACCAGGCTGCATCTGAAATAGCCCATGAGGAGTGGGGCACCCAGGGCTTCAGCAGAGAACAGAATGGGCCATGTAGGGGATGATTCTGGGAAGGCTTGTCAAGGCTGCGGAATATCGACACAGGCAGCTCAGGGCCCTCAGGTGCACAGCACTCAATAAATGACTAATTAAAATACAACACCCTGAAAGCAAGTTCTCCTAGAGAGATTTGTACACACACATTCTTATCTGTATTATTCACAATAGCCGAGAGGCAGAGCAGTCCAGGTGCGTGTGGATGGATGGATAAACGAAATATGGTCTATCCATACAATGGGCTATTCTACCTTGTAAATGAAGGAAATTCACCCAAACTTCAACATGGATGGACCTGGAGGGGAGCATAGCATGCTCATTGAAGTAAGTCAGTCACTAAAAGACGAATGCTATATGATTCCACTTATGTGAGGTCCCCAGAGTAGTTAAATTCACGGAGACAGAAAGCAGAAGTGAGTGAGTGGTGAGTGCCAGAGGTTGGAGTAGGAGGGAGTAGGGGTTGGCGTTTGATGGGGACAAAGCATTAGTTGGGGAAGATGGAACATTTCTGGGGATGGGTGCTCAGCAATGTGAATGCGCCTAATGC